GGGGGAGGATGGGGGGACCGTCCTTCACGTCCTGAAGGTCGAAACCATCTAACATAGCCAGCGAAAGACCATGTCGCCTTAATTCCTGCCGCGTGTCCAAGCAACAGTTGCCTCCCTCAGCTTGGAAGATTGGCCAAAATTGCAATCAATGTTCCAAACCTGCCCCTTTAATGAACTTATCATATGGACCAAGAAAGGGCCCGAGGCCACGGGCTATCCACTGGCTTTCACACAGGTCATTTTAACATGACACTTCTGGCAGCTGCCGTCGGCATGAAGCCCAATATAAAAGGCTTGTGTAGGGTGTTGGCTCCAAATCAAGACCGCCATTAGGAGCAACACCATGTATGCGACGCGCTTATTGCACCGAATTGCACCACAGATGGATGAGACAAAGAAAAGAGGACCTACATGCAGAGTTGCAGAGCCATGAAATCACCAAAGTATAGTTGCAAGAGGTTGACAGCCCCATGCCTCCATCTTGTGGAGCATTTCGTCAAGGGCCTCCCTGACGTTGAGCACATTTTTGCTGGAATAGACGTGTATATCTTGCCCAGAATGCTGCTCCTTCAAGCCTGTGAGGCTAAAGCGGACTTGGCCACCAGGATGTTTAAACACATGGATGCCACGGGGGCTGTAGATGGCAAGCCAAAGCTCATCGAAAAGGTCCAGGTCGCGAACACCGCTGCTGGCGGACTTGATGTTCCGGAAACAGCATCGCCAACACCAACTCCCCCCTCTGTTTGTTCTGACACATTTGTGCGCTCTTGCATTCCACTCTCACTCCTGAACGAACCCAGTCTACTTCGGATTCGGAAGAATTTCGTGAAAACGAGCAATTTGGATTCAGAATTTGATCCAATTTAAAGGCAATCTCCTCAATACACAAACCACGTTTCCTTGTTGTCATATGGCTCAGCGGTACATTCTGATATACGTAGTCCTGCGGTGCTCTCAGTTCTTCCATTTGCTTTCTCAGCCAGCTCCTGACCTCAACACCGGATAAATCTATTTGAGCTACAAGTTTGCAGCGACCTGGAGCCAGGATCTTGTCGAGAATTTGAGATCGTGCACTTTGCCAACATTCTTGCCCGCTAGCGCCATAAACAACAATGTCGTGACCATCGCTTCCTGTTTGCTTGCCAACTGCAGTAACTCCAGTCTGAAGGTCATGCTTGATGATGTACAAGCTATCTGGGCTAAACAGTGTGAGATACAAATCATCAAATGGAGCCTGATACCGATAACCAGACGGCAGCTTGACGTGGCGAAAGCGCACAAGCCAACCTGTCCTCCTCTTGCTCCAAGACATCTGTGCACTTTTGCACTCAATTTTCCGGTTGTCCAAAACGAAGTCACAAAGGGCGTTGTTGGCGGACCTGCGTGCTCCATTCCAACAAGTCCCTGGCATAGGCTCTTCGATTGTGCTGTGCGGATGTAGCCGGGCCAGCTCCTTTTTGCAAAGTTCTTGCAGGATCATTCCGCGTCGCTTTCCAGACAGCAAGGACAGCTCATGGCCAGCTTAACCAAGATAGGCCTGGCTGGTCTGCGCAGGATCATTCAAAATGTGTTGAAACTGTGAGGCGCTCAGCACCAAACATCTATACTGCCATCCGCCACCCAACCTGAAAACACTTGCTGGATGCAAGCCTGACCGCAACATCATGGCTTGAAAATCAGGATTCTGCACTAATTGCCCTACACTTCACCTTAGAAAACAGCTTAGCTAAGAAGAACTTCAGGTGAAGGGGCCAACACATCAGGCCCAAAGCTGGAAAGAACAACCGATTATATTATCGCTGGATTATATGGGGTCATTGGTGGGTAGTTATTTAATTGCTGATTACGAACTCAAATCATGGCCATCCAAAACAATGACCCGGCACACCTCAATTTTCTTGTTTGTAGGGTGGGCTTGACCGAGACAAACCAATGTCTCGGGGACTGCAACATCTGCACTGCTCTTGGAGCCAAGCCCGGCCAAAATTGAGCAACCGCGCAACAAATGCATGGACTTAACTATGACTTAACTTTCTCCCCAAAGTAGAGCACTATGCAAATCTTTGCACTGCTTACCAAAGAAACTGCAATGATGCTACTATGACAACAGTGTTGCACACATGGAGCCACTCATTGCAGCACAGAATCATGAAACCAACAACCAACCCTTGCCTCTATACACACCTCCTTCGCTCTCACGGTGGGACATCACCTCAGCATGGCCGTCCCTTCACCCTGCCTGGTGCCTTTCCAACAAAAAAAGCCGCCTCTCTGGTGGCGACCTTGGTGACCCCTTGGCCCAGCGTGAACTGTGAGCAAAACAATCCGGTCATTCAAGGTGTCATAATCCTGCTTGATGGCAGCTGTCGGCTTTGCAATCTCTCGTCTTATATATGGTTGGGAAGGTGTCAACATTTTACTTGGCTCCTCTGGATCTGTCGGTGTTAAGAACCGTTGAACAAGGTCAAATTCTGCCAATGTTTGCGGCACTTTGTCATCTATGCCCACAGAAACCGCTGCATTGAACAAAGCCGTCCCAAATGGCCTGCAGGTCCTGGTCTTCTTCTGCACGTCTTGCGCTTGTATGAGGAACTTCCTCGGTCAACCTGTGGAAGATTGCGTATGAAAGTCCATGTCACCATGATGTGGTTTGTTTTGAATCGTTGGCGTGCCCAACCTTCACTGTTCAAAGGCAATTCTCCCACAAATCATCATCCCTCTGGGTGGAGGAGGGGAAAACAAGGCTAGCTGTGCCTTGTGCTGGCACTCTTACCACAACATCTTGGCCAATTACAACTCCCAAGGATCGCACAATACAGCCGCCTAAGCGCACGATTAACCAAGCGGCTTCCACGAGCTCCAGGTGGTGTGGGGATTTGCTTGACTTTGGAGGTTCTTTCCTAGGCCAGCTGCTTGTCTCCCAAGTTCGCACCTCTTCTCTTCATATCAACGTCATGTGGGAAACCTATATTCCAGTGTGTTATGACATCGACCTAATACCGACTTCGAACCCAAAAGGTCCACGAGTCTCATGCCGAAGGGCAGCCGGTCTCCGCCATGGCCCGGCCTTCACTTCAAGTCGATCCCAAGGGCTCTCTCTCGCAATCAAGGCCTCGATGACCTGCACGGTGATGCTTGCTTGGGCTGCGGTTGAGAGCCCTGAGGATCCGTTGAAACTGACCTCTTGAGGTGGAAACGCGCCGTATGACTGTAAAAGGTTGGTGCACAGGGTCAACAACTGGTGGGCAAAAGGGGGGGTGAATGATCTATCTTCTGACATCTATGGGCAGCGTTCCGATTGGGCAGGATGCCATGCACTCAGCGCAGTGTTTCCGCATTGACGTCCAGCAGCTGTCACTATGATTACCGCGTAGAGGAACAATGGCCTTGAGAACTTACCTTTCGCTGCTGAAGGACTCATCGAGATCATGAGAAAAAAAGGCTCGGCTCGAGCATCGCTGCTGCAGGAAGACAAAGGGCATCTTATACGAGCAACCGTGAATCACCAAAGAATTGTTGCAAGAGGCTGGCAGTCCCATTCCTCCATTTTCTTGAGCATTTCGTCAAGGGCCTGCCTGACGTCAAGCACATTGCGGCTGGAATAGACGATTATCTGTTGCCCAAAAACCTGCTGATTCAAACCTGTTATGCTGAAACGGACTTGGCCACCAGGATGCTTCAAAATGTGAATGCCGAGTGGACTGTAGATGGCAAGCCACAGCTCATCAAACAGGTCGTGATCACGAGCAGCTTGGTTTTTTTTCCACGAGTACGGACGCCATGTGGGCGGTGTGCCCAGGTCATCAACGAGCAGCTTGGCATGCACCCTTGATGTTTTGGAAAGAACATCGCCAACACGTACGCACTTGGTTGTAACGCATTTGCCCGCTCTTGATTTCCACTCTCACCACTCCACGAACCCAGTCTACTTCCGAACAAGAGCGTGAAAATGAACAATTGGGATGCAGGATTTGATCCACTTCAAATGCTATCCCTTCAATCCGCAAGCCACGTAGCTGTTGCACCATATGGTGCAAAGGCACCCCCTCGTACGCGTGGTCCTGTAGGGTTGTCAGCCCTTCCATTTGCCGTGTCAGCCACTTGTTGACTTCAACTGCTGACAAATCTACCGAAGACACAAGTTCGCAACCTTTTGTCAGGAACCTGTTCAGGATCTGATACCGTGCTGTTTGCCAACATTCTTGACCCCGCGTGCCTTGAACGGAAATCTGATGACCATGGCTGTCTGTTTGCTTGCCCACTGTGGAGACTCCAGTCTGAAGGTCATGCTTGATGATGTGCAAGCTATCTGGGCTGTGAGATACAAATCATCAAATGCAGCCTCATCCCAAAAACCTGACCGCGGCAGCTTGACTTTGGGAAAAAGAACGCGCCAACGCATCATAGCCCTGTTCCATGACATCTGTGCACTTCTGCATTTCACCTTGCGGGCATCCATACCAAAGTCATACTCCGCCTGTGAAGCGGACCTTCGAGCCCCGTTGCAACAAGTGCTTCGGAGAGGCTCCTCGATTTTACTGTGTGGATGTAGCCGTGCCAGCTCCTTTCGGCAAAAGTCTTGCAGGATCATCCCACGACGCGTCCCGGACAACAAGGACAATGCATGCCCCGAATGATGCATAAAGACCTCACTGGTCCGCCCGGCATCATTCAGAATGTGCTGAAACTGCGAAGCGCTCAGCACCAAAGACCTGAACTGCCATCCAACATCCAACTTGAATACACTTGGTAGAGGCACACCTGATCGCAACATCACGGCTTTCAAACCAGAATGCCTCCCTACGCTCGGTTCAGCTCAGAAAGCAGCTTGGCTAGAAAGGACTTCAGGTGAAGGGACCGAGACATGCTGGAAAGAACAAACAATATTATATACATTGTGGTTGGATATTCTGGGGTCATTGGTCACCTCTTGGAAGGAAAACTGCAATGGTCAGTGCGTTATCAATGTCGCACACATGGAGCCACTCAGTGCAGCTCAGTATCATGAAACCAGGAACAATGGCGACTCCCCTTGGATCCCACTAACCTTTCCTCTGTATAGACACACAGTGGGTCATCACCGAAGCACGGCCATCCCTTCGCCCTGCCTAGCACCTTTCCAGCAAAAAAACCGCCGCCTCGCTGGCGCTGACCTTGGTGACCCGTTGGCCC